CCCGCCGTTTTTCCAATGGGCGGCGGCGCTGGAGGGCGCCCACGCCTCGCCTGTCGCCGCTCTTGGATCAGCGTTCCAGTCGCGCCGCGGCCTCGGCCCCGGCGCCCGCGGCGGCGGCGGCGCGGCGGGGGCGCAGCTGGGGCCCGGAGAGGGGCGGGAGCTCGTGAGCGCGGACGAGGGCGGGGCGATCGCCGTGTGGGCGCCACGCGGCGACAAGGGTGCGGGCTATGAGAAGGCTTTGGGAATTGGCAGCAGCGGCGGCGGCGGCTGTGGCGCGGCGGTGGTCGGGGTGGCGGTGCGCTGCGGGCTGCTCGTGGCCGGGCGTGCGGACGGCGCCGTTCATGGGTATTTGATGGTGGGTGGTGCCGATGCGGGGAGTGAGGACTGAAAACTGCGCGCTGGGAAGGCAGGGATGGGCGGGGACTGCGGAGGATTTGGCCAGAGCCTGTGGCTGGTGTCCAGCGCGTCGTGGCACTGCACACATGCATGCATGCATGAGCTGGAGAGGGGAATCGGCTGTGTTGATGAGCTGCATTATCCGTTGGGCTGGCCGCTGAGCCACAGGGGCGGGTGCAGGTCTGGACATGAGAACCCGCTCCCCGCCGTCCTTTGTCCCCTATCAACACCATCCTCTTGACGGCGCAGTCGATCACGAGCTCATCTCCCGCTTGACGAACCCGCTCTTGGATCCCGCTCTTTTCCCCCGCAGCGCGACGGCGCGCCGCTGTGGGAAATTCAGGCCCACTCTCGCTGGCTGGCCGCGCTCGACATGCACCCCACCCGTGACGTCATCGCTTCCGTCTCAGAGGACTCCACGATCGGCGTCTGGCGCCTCCCCAGCTGCCAGCTCTCGCGCTCGAACAGCGGCGCCGGCGCCGCGGCGGCCGCTTCCGCAGCACAGGCCCCCGCGCCGCTGCTGTCGGCTGCAGCGCTGGGCTGCTGCCTGACGGGCGTCGCGTTCTGCGGGGAGCGGGACGACGACGTGGCGGCGGTTGCGGTGGACGGGGAGGAGCTGCTGATCTGGCGGGGAGGAGCGGCCACCTGCGCCGCGGCGGCGGGCCGTTGACCCCTTGCGAAGAATGCGTCACTTTGGCGGGTCCCCCCCCCCCCGGGTCGGTGCAACGGACGGCCCGGCGCTGTTGTCTGGTGGTGGCGTGGGCGTGTGTAAGGCGCAATTTTGTGCAAGTGGGTAGGGCGCCTGCATGCGTGTGTGGTGTTGCCGGTGCCAATGCGCGCCGTTTGCATGTGTGCGTGCGCTGAACGGCGCCCCATGTGAACTGGGAGAGCAATTTTTGGTCGCCATCGAGCGTTTGTTACAGTACATTTTATCAAGGAGCGCCACCCCTCCATGCGACACAATCTTGGCGGGTGGTGTGGCGACAGCCATGGTTAAAGGGCAAGCGACCAGGAAGGGGGCAGCAAGGCGCGTCCTTGGGAAGCTGCGAGCAGCGAGCCAGGCGCGGCGCCTGCATCCCATCATAGCGCGCGGTCAGTTGGTCGCGGGGCGCGCTGTGCGGAAGGACTTTGCGTGCGTTGTGGCAGAGGGCTGTCTGTGATTGGCTTGCCAGGGGAGCAGGGGTCGGTGGCTGGGCAGAAAGTTGTCAAGCAGCAGTGCAAGCAGTGATGGCGGCCATGTATTGAGGGCCCGTTGGCAGAGATGGGGGGGGGGGGTTGCAGCAACGCAGCCGCGGGCGGCTGCGACCTGCGGCGCTGTCAACTGTTGTGCAGTGTCGGCCGCGGCAACCGAGCGCCTAAGCTGCCAAGAGGGCCGATTGTGTGCATGTTTTGAGGGCGGCCGCGCCCGCCTGCCTGCAGGGGGTTGTCTGTGACGGGGCGGCCGCGGCGTGCGTTGGGCAACAAAGGGGCGCTGTGCTGGCGTTGTGTTGCAGGATGTGCACAGGATGCACATTGCAGGCGCGGTTATGAAACACATCGAATTCGAAAAACATCTGTTGGTGGCTGCTTAAGGAGCGTGGCGAGTGTTAAGCATGCGCACGTGGGTCAGCCTGGTCCACGGCATTGCACTGCAAGGGGCTCGCATGTGCGGCGGCGCAGGACTGCTGCGATTGGGCCACAGGCAGCTATCGGCCCCGGAAAATCGCTCTAGCCAGGCAGCCGGCCTGCCGGCTTGAGGCTTACCGCTTGGTGCACGGAAGAGGAGAGGGAGAGGGGGAGGGAGAGGCAGGTGCGTTCAAAACCCCCGGGCACATCTAGGTCGCAGATTAAAACGGTACCATCCATCTATCAATCGTACCATCGTTCATACGCACATAGAGACATACATGCATACATGCATCCATTTGTCAATCATCTGCACAACGCGATCACAGAACATCGGCGGCCGCGTCACTCGATGCAATGTGAGGCACATTGAGGCGCGTGCCCGCTGCAGCTCAAGCTGTCGGCGGGCTTGCGGGCCCGCAACAGGGGCTGTGGCTGCCCCAAATCCCCCACGTTGCCCTTCTTTGTTTCCGTGGGCAGGCTCATCCAAACCGCTGTGGGTGATAGGCCTATGCACGCCGGCACGCGTCTCTGGTGCGTGGACCTGGTTTGCGAGCAGCAAGCGGCCGCATGCAAAATGCCGCTAGTGCTAGGGAACGCGATACTCGGCATCACAGCTACGACCGGCATGCGTTTGAGAGCCGCGCCAAAACAGCCGCCTGTGCGATGTGCCGGTTGGGCGGCGGGGCAACCGAGTGAAGCTGCGGCACGCAAGACAAACAAGAGCGCTTGAGGGTAATCAGGGAGGAGGGTGAAGGGAGGCGCTTCGGCCGAGGACCACGGGATACGGGGTCGTGCTTGGTCTCACAGGAGTGATGACGTCAGCACCGCAGTAGGAGCAAGGGCGATGGCCCCGGCCCGCGGGTCACTGATTGGAGGGGGCGGCCTTGCAAATGAGCGAGATGATGCTCAGACGCTGCAACAGAGAAGTGGGCCATACAAATAAAGGGAACGAGCAGCGGCCCGCCCTCCGTCGCACCCGTTGACTACGGGCATACTGCGGTGTCGCCGCCACCCGCAGCCGCCGGATCGCCCCCGGCACCGCTGGCCCCGCTCAGGGACCTCTCCACGATGGTGTCCATCTCGACTCCGAAATCCGCGGCGGCCGCCGCCGCCACATCAACCATCGCCCCGGGCCCGCGCACGCAGTCGGCAGCGCCGCCGACGCGCCCGTTCCGGCCGCCGTCTGCGGCGCCGTGTGCGTCGCCGTTTGCGCCGCCGTTTGCGCAGGCGTTCTTGGTCGGGGGCTGGAGAAGGGGGATGCGCGAAAGGGTGTCTGTTGCGGACGGCGGTCGCGTGGCGCGCTGGAGGAACGCCTGTTTGATTTTAGGTGGAGGAGGGGGAGGGCGGTTGGAGGGGGTTCTGTCAAGGAA